TTGCAGCTGAGAGGCTGGCAAGTGAGGCGGGGAACGTTGGAGTCTGCAGCAAGCAAGCCTCGTGCTCGCTTCAGTGCCTGGCTGCCGGCCGCCATCTTGGCTGACAGTTAATTTGCATATACTCACTGATTAGCCAATGAAAAGGGTAGCGGTAGTACGCCAATTACCATGTTTCTCTTTTATTAGTGTAGATGAATAAGATATTTCCCACCCTCCAGCATTATTGGGAGTGTAAAACGAGATCAGTGTGGGTGGGGCTGCTAATTAACCCAGCCTCCCGAGTGATGAATGAGAGTTGTCCAACAAACTGCTGTCACCGATGGGTATTTTCTAGTGAAATGTAGGCAGCGGGATCTGGACACCAGGCCCATTTGTCTTCTTTAGGTTTCTTCCTTTCTTGTGTTAGTATTTGTGACGTCCTGATATTGACACCGAATGCCATTATCCGAGGAGCATGTCATTGTCCCAGCCCACACTTGGGTTCCCTCTCTAGCCCCTGGGGCTCCCTCTATGCTTAGGTGGGGCCTCGTTCTTGGCTGCAGAACTTCCCATGAGGCTTGCACGGGAGGCAGCTTCCCACCGTCTTTGGAAGGTAACTTTCCCGGGGCCTGAATGTGTTTCAGGGAGCTGGGTCAGGAGTGGCTTGGATGTCTCTGCTCCTTAGCAAGACAGAATGAATGTGGCCAGTGCCTTCTTAACCACACATCCTGGGACATCATGGGAGAAGTAATGTGACTGCCAAGAGCATATGACGTGTGTGTGTTGTGGATCATTCGGAGTGGAAGCATGGAGGGCCAGGTCCCTAAGCAGTGTGTTCTTGTGGCTTCTGATCTGCGGGCTCCTAGTTGCTGCATATCACCCAGGATTCATCCCAGCACACAGCCCACAGGCCTCCCCTGCTCTAGCTCCCACAGTGACTTCCTTGTTTTCCCTGAGGTGAGGTGGGGACCTCTTACATGTAACGCCCCTGGTAACCTAACCCACCTCCTCCACCCAGTCCACCTCCCAGCACTGTCCTCCCGCAGGGGAGGTGGGTCAGCTGGTGTCCTCCCTCCCGTCCTCCAGCGCAGCGCTGCATGCCGGTTGCTACCAGCTCTGCCGCATGGCCCTGTGAACCGCTCTCGGGTCTGTCTCCTAACATAGT